TCTCTGTCTTTCTCTCTGTCTCTCAGCCTGCAAACATGCAGATCTTCGTGAAGACGTTGACAGGGAAGACCATCACCCTTGAGGTTGAGCCCAGCGACACTATCGAAAATGTCAAGGCAAAGATCCAGGACAAGGAAGGTGAGCAGGCACATCGGACGCCTTGACACGTTTTCTTGTTTAGCCAGCAAATTAAAAGTTAAACCTGTAAAAATGTCTCAGTCACTTTTTACATTCAGATTTTCAGTTTTGTTAATAGCATAGTAGAACACCGATTGTGTAAATGTAACTTATTTTGCTTTAGAGCAACCTAGTAGATTGGTCTGATGGGGAAACTGGATTTCTGGTTCTTTGGTCAAACTAGTTTACTACTACTTAAAAGTTTGTAGTGTTTAATGTACAATTTTGTAAGCAGGTAGTAAAATATTTGTCATGTGTGAAGTCACAGCCAACCTCTTGTACTTAAGTTATTAATGGTCAAATGTATATGCGGTTTGTTTTAATAAGTGTTGTGTTCGCAGGAATTCCCCCTGATCAGCAGCGTCTGATCTTCGCTGGCAAACAGCTGGAGGATGGACGCACGCTGTCTGATTACAACATCCAGAAAGGTCAGTTACAGCTAGGCCAGATGTGCTCAATGTGTCAGTGGTTACAGTAAACTGTAGACAAGCTTCTCAATGTGAAACAAAGTGTGTAAAAGATTTAGATAAGTTAGTCTCCCACAATTAAGTAATGAGGTATCCTACATTCTCCTAATACATAATATAAGTATATTTTTTCATTCTAAAGATCAGTTAAATGCTTTTACAATGTACCTGGGTAGATAATGCTTTCTGTGGCCCTGTTTGTGGATGTGACCGAACTTGAGATTGACATCGATGTTTATTCACTGCCCATCAGAATCCACTCTTCATCTGGTTCTGCGTCTGCGTGGTGGCATCATCGAGCCTTCACTCAGACAGCTGGCCCAGAAATACAACTGCGACAAGATGATCTGCCGCAAGTAAGTCCTGTAATCATCAAA